CATTGGTGGTGGTTTGGGGGGGAAGTGGGAAGGTAGGTACTGGGAGGAACTCACCGAGTGGGAGAAGAAGGCTGGTGAGGCTCAACAGCAGCAGGAGGAGGATGATGCTTCTGAGGAGAGTAGCGACGTTGAGGAGTATGTCGGGGGCTCGTGGGTTCTCTGGATGCTATCGTGCTCAGGCCTTCTACTGTGCCGTTTATCCCTGCAGGAGAGTCGGAGAGGTTGGTCGCTGAGGCTGAGGACCTATTGGAGGGGGCTACGGTTGGTGGCCATGCGGTACAGCTAGAGGTGCCAGCTGCTGTCACTTCACCGAAGAAGAAGAAGGCGACTAGGAAGATGGCGCATAAGGAGGCAGTGGAGGCAGCAGCAGCTGTGGAGGAGGAGGAGTCGGCGTCATCAGAGTCTGAAGGGGAGGGGGAGGAGACCCAACAGGACCTGGTCCGGACTGCTTTTGGTATCAAGGGGGGCGCAGAATCATCGTATGCCCGGGAATGGGTGGAGGAGCTGGAGGCGAAGGATGAGGCGGAGAGGTTGGCTGAGGAGGAGGCCCTTGGGGTTAAGGAGCTGCCGGGGTGGGGGAGTGGATGGACTGGTGCTGGTGAGTGAGGGGGAAGGGGATGGCTTGGGGAGGAGGGGATGGTGATGACGTTGTAGGTGTGGTGGAGAGGGAGAAGAAGGAAGAGAAGAAGAGTGCAGTGGGGAAGAAGAGGCGGCGCCGATTTACGGATGTTATGGTGAATGAGGAGTCGGTCAGTAAGAAGGCAGCTAAGAAGTATCAACTGTCGCAGGTGAGGGCTTGCAGGGAGAGGCCTTGGGAGGATGGGGTTTTTGTTGGTAGGTCCCTCGATCGATCGGTGGTAAGGCTGTGGCATACGAGAGGGAGATGTCGCGTCCTCTGGGTCCGGAGTGGCATTCTGCTCAAGCTCACGAGAGGCTTATTCAACCTAGGGTTATTACTAGGGTTGGAGAGGTAGGAGGAGGTATCTTAGGTTGAGCGGTGGAAGATACGGATTAGGTCATCGCTCCGCTGCAACGGTATAAGAAGTCTCTGGATGCGGCCAGTAAGAAGAACATTTTGGAGGCGTATAGCGAGCGGAAGGCGAACGCGCCCTCTCATCACCGCACTAAGGCTCGGATGTGATCTCTTCAAACGTTACTAACTCGACACGGCTGGAGGTGTGGTTGTTCCTTATTGCCTCATACGTGGACGGTCGTCGTACCTTCCACGAAGGCTGACGTAATACGATCTATTTACCAATGAGAGCAGGGCTTGAGTTGGTGATGGGTGGGGTCAATGGGGAACAGGAAGTTCGAAAGGAGTGGTAGGAGTGGCGGACTGATATTGGAAAATTGCCAACTACGGCTTTCTGCGCTTCATTATTCAGAGCCTCTCTCCTGCTCTATCTCTGCAACTCAATACTTGGGGCATTGATCCTTCTGATCTCGGTGGGACAGTGGGCTTTTCCATACTTTGTAATGCCCGGTTTTGACGAGGCCGGCGAGAGGCTGGCGAAGATGTGCCGTGAGTTGGAGGCGAGTGGGCATATGAAGGGCACGTCGGGGTGTGCCTCCATGAGGGTTGGTCATGATGGTGATGGGGTTCTGGTCACTCCCAGTGGGTATCTGAAAGGGGAGCTCAAGGGCCTCGAGGATCTGTTCCTGGTGGGAATCGGGATGGTCCTTTTGAGTCAGCGTTGGAAGGACACACATGGTCAAGTACATGTGTTGATGAAAAAATAAAAAATCTGTGGAAATTTCTGGGAAAGTCTCGTCGGTTTCTGTACATTTCTACCCCTTATAGTTGGTGAGTAAACTCTTGAGCTCAGCTGAGGAAGGGGAGTACATATTCCAACTTGGCGTTGAGCATCTCTCTGAATTTTGAGTCAGGTATCACTCTCTACAGGGGAGGTTGGATATTCACGGTCGGACAAGGAGGTGACTCCTCGGAAGCTGACGGACTCGTGGGAGGTGATGAAGATGATTTACGAGAAAGTTGGTATGAATGAATGCACGTGTGTGTTGCACTCCCATCACGAAGCCTTGGTCCTGGCGGCCAACATTGAGGACAGACGTGTGGTGGATAAATCAACAGTGTTGAAGTGGCGTGCCCCGGCGGATCAGGAGATGCTGAAGGGAATACGTGGATACAGCAGTAGGTTGGGTGAAGGGGTAGGGAGGATGGATTCTTCGGCACAGGGGTCTGCGTAAAGGAATGTA